TTCATGAAAAAGTACAACAGCTGCCTACTGCAACTATAAAATATTGTTTTTGAGTAAACCAAATTTGTTTATTGGTTTTACAACTATTTCTTTCTAAGGGAAAAAGCCAGGCACTGAACTGAGATCATTTTTCATTTGGTTTTCCCCAAAGTTTACAACTTCTTTTGGATAAAAGATGATCTATGATAGTCTGATCTTTTAGTCTGCCAGTGATAAAACAACTTCCTGTGTAATTTAGGAATGCTGCTAAATTCATTTTCAGATTTGTATACCAGGCAAATAAATAAATCATATAATCACTAATTATCTTTCAACCTTGCACTTGCGAATTGAATTAGAGTGACTACAACTGACACTGATTATCTGAGACAGGATGTTATTAAATCCCTTTGGGAGAGAGCTTTTGTAAGCCAAGATCCATCACATTTAGAGCAGAGAGCATTTTTCTGCATTAGTTCATTTATGGGCAATCATTCAGGTCTTGCTAGTAAGAGCATACAACGAGCAACACTGAACAACAACAGCAAGTAAAATTAATACTAACACTATCTGCTAGAACATTTATTTTACTTATAGCCTTAAGATGCCTTGGCAAGAATATCTGCATGAGACATGATAGCTGTATATGAAAGAAAATGTATGGTTCTAGCATCCATACTGTAGAATGCCATCTCACAATATCTGTACGTTGACAGAGATTTCACCCTGCATATGGGAGGTCTTCAGTCCTAATATTTTTTTTACTGCATTTTATGGCTTCAAGAGTCCAACCCAATGGTTTTATTGGATCCATGCAAGTTCTGATCTTTCATTAGAAAAATACTGCATCTTGTTAGTCTTTTAGCTGACTAATTTGAACAGTCTTTCCTGGCTTTAAAGAAACTTCTTACTGAATTCTCTGCTTTTCCTGCCTTAAGATTTTAAAGGCCCAGTTTTTAGAAGCAGGCTTTAATTTTGTAACCCAAAATTGCAGGCACAGAATGGGATGTTTCTGTCAAATTCAGGGCCTTTATTTCTTCTCCTATTGTGGACTATTTGTATAACATCAGGTAACAATGGCAGTACAGACAGAGATTCCATAAATGCTGGTGTATATTTGTAGATTAAATAGGAGGTGCAGAATTAACTTGATAATACCAGGAAAGCAGAGATACCCAATCTAAAATACCATTGACAGCTCATTGAAAAGCCACCGATACCAAGGTATTTTAGACGTTAGCCATTTGTCCTTTCCTCCTTTTTAATGTTAATGTCTGTGTGGTCTATAAGTTAGTGTGATGAGAAAATCTACTGAACCTCCGGCTGTCCCTTATTTTTCCCGCCTCACAGATGTCTACCCACATGTGATTTGTGTCAGACAGCAAACTGAAAGAACTGATCAGAGGCTGTGTGTTTTGCTCTTTCTATAAACCCTGTTACTCTCCGTGCAGAGGCCATACTGCCTTGTAGCCTTCTTTCACTCAGACAAGCAAGGTGGGGAAGGCAATAACAACCCCACTCCCAGGAGCACGTACAAACCCACTCAGACGAAAATGACAGACCGGGACTTGGGGGCTGATGCAGAGCACAGCTCTGCATGTTCTGGGCAATTCAAGTGCATAACAAGGAGACATTACCTTGGCTGTTTCCCCTTGTTGGCCAGCTTATAGATCCAGGCACAGTTGGGGAAAGTGTGAGAAGGGAAACTAAAACCTTTCAAAAGCTACAGTAAGGGAGCAGACATAAGTGACAGATTTTGCACAATCAGCTGCCTGAAAGCATTTTACAGCCATACCATGACATATGTGCATGCCTGCAGAGTGCTTTTAAAGTAGCTGATCGTGTGACATATTAACCCTCCTCAAATAAGGTATCAGATGAGTGCCTTAGGGAACTTGTGTTCCCTAGGGTTAATTTTCATGCAATTGAGGCTGGGCTGATGCAATCTAGCCCTGCACGCAGGGCTGTCAGCAGGAAGGGAGTGGGCAGGCAAGAGAGGGAGCAAGATGCCAGCTGGGGTTTGCCCAGCTTGAGCTGGAAGTGGGGCTAGATCAGAGCCCCCCACCTCACAGCTCCCCACTATCCCCTCTGCTCCAGCTCAGGCCAGGCAAACCCCAGCTAGCAGCTCACACTGCCTCCTTCCTCTCTTCCTGCTGACTGCCCTGGAGGTGGGAGGGTGGGGGCTGGGGAAGAGGGGCATTTTCTTGGCTACAGGCAGGCTCCTGCAGGCAGGCTTGATTCCCCCTGCCCCAATAGGCAAATGTCTGTTGGGGGGACAGGGAGGAGTGCTCTAACTCACGGTGCTTTATGTAAAGCACCATGAGTTAGAGTAGGGGCCTGCACATCTGTCAGCACTCCTTCTCTTGCTTCTCAGTCTCCTTTTCCTGCTGCTGTGCATTGCTGGCACAGTGTCTCCCAGTACTTGTTCCCTGGGTAGAGTCGTTTCTGTGTCACATCCGCTCAGGGCTGTTTGCCTAAGGCACTACCTAACCTTACTAATCACAAAAGATTCCAGAAGAATGAGAAAGTTTGCCTGAAATAAATCACTGCTGGCATCCCAGAGCTTCCTAAGACTTGTTTCAAATATCCTGCTAAAATGATATACCTCTGAATGTTTAATCAACAACTCAAGCATGAAACCATCTAGAAACTAATAAGCTACACTCCTTTATTTTTTACACTAGAGTATTTAATATTTCACACTTCAGTGTTTTTAGGTTTCATTTAAATTATAATTCATTAAGATGCTAGAGTGCTGGAAGTGTGCCAGAGCACATAGTAATGTATTAGAACTACACCAGCTTTCATGTTTGGCTCTTAATGGTGAGTACGGGGGCCTTATATGAAATTGTGCTGTGCAGTTATTGTACTAGTACAGCCCTCATCTACAGAGCATATAGATTTTTCAGGATTCCTTCTAATCAGATGTCATTCATTGATCAGGTTCTTCTGAGTGTTGATGGAAATCTGTGTTTCAGTACAGAGGTTGATGCTTTACATGATTTATTCCATTTCATGGGGGAATTTTCTATTAAATTAGAAAATTGAATGATGGGCTGCCTCTTATCCTGCCAGCAATGGGCATCGTTATGCTGTCCTTATCCAGAGTCAGTCAACGGGACTGCTCAAAGGTTATTATTATTTGTCAATACAAATAGAGGTGGAAGAATCAAAACTGGCAGTGCTATCTTCAAATACATTTTATAGTCCAAAGGGTTGTTTTATTTAAATATGTTCCTTACTCCATTGAAGTCGAACAGGGCTAAGATCTGTTCATAGCTGAATAAATCTGGAATGATTTCATTGATATAATTGAGCAGAATTTTACTTATTGTCCATCCATGGGAGTTATTTGGATGGGATTAGGGCCTTCATATTTGACCCCATGATACTTCTGTAGTGATGAGATCCATTTATGTAGCATTCTTGATCTGGTGCCAAGTAATCATCCAGGTATCCATCACTGTTGAAATGTAGTGCTCCCAGATTCAGTTTACATTAAAGATGGCAGACTCAGGAAGGCTTCCCACTTCACTAGATTGCTCTGTTCTATTCAGATGTCCACACTGCAGCCTGCTCTCAAAGTATGTCCCTATTCCAACCAAGATGTTCATACAAATACATACAGTTCCTGGCAATACTGCTAATTAATCATGAATACTGGCAGGTAGGATATTCTCACATGTGCCCCTTTTGCCAATTAGGTTTATTACCAGCGATAGGGATGTTGCTGGTTGTTAAATAAAAATAGCAGTTATGTGAACAAAAACTTACTCTTTTTGTCTCTATAGCAAGTGGTCTTAGGTTGTGTTTTCCAATTTTGAAAGCAAGCAAGAGAACAATGCAGATTCACCCTGTGTGGCCAGATCCTGTCATCCTTACTCAGAGTTTACAGACGGAAAACTCCCACTGACTTCAGTGGGACTCCACCTGAATAAGGACTAACTAGAATATTTCCAGTCTTGGGGCATAGAGAAATGAACACATATGCCAGTGCAATTTACACAGGTTTTGTACACCAATGTAAGTTACACCAGGTTCAGACGTGGACAGACATGCAGCCATCTTGGGGTAGATCACACTCCTGCTGTTACTGCATTTCACCACTGGGCAGTGGGGAGGTAGGAGAGCAGGCAATAGTTTATTTGCCTCTGGCAGACAGCTACGCTGGGATGGATGCAAGCAGACAAAAGTCATACTGGTTTAACTTACACCAATAGGCTTACCCAGACTCTTTCAGGAGTAATTCGCTACAAGACTGGAAAAATTATTCCATGTTAAGGGTTAACATCATTTGCCTGCTACTTCATTTACATTGGTGTGATGCCAGCAGCACCAGTGTAAATGTCTTGTCTGTCCATGTCTTTACCAGTGCTGCTTGATCTTAATGCTAGGGAGTAGCTCCCACTGCCAGTATGCCTACCTGTTGTACCTTTGTGGAGCTCTGAACCTACTTTTTGTGCTAATCATGGCTTATATTGCTTGTTCAGGTTTATGCTGTTTTGTGCTTTCCATTTGCAGCAATCATTTTGCAGCTATTCTTCTGCAGCTGTTGGATGTGCACAGTACATGGTATGCAGAACTTGAGTCTCAGCCCAGATTTAATTAAAACTATTAAACATTCTATCACCATAGTGCTCAGAAATACTTTGCTGGCTGTATTGATATGAAATTGGTTTGACTTGATTTTTTTTCACAATGCAACTAGAAGGGCGTGACTCAAAAGTGGGGTGAGCAGGTGCTCCAATAAAATCAATTGGACCCACTTACATTTTCGGGTTTGACCCTAAATATTTATCGTGACCTATATCTGGTCTCACAAGACAATCAAAAAAACAAGTGAGCTGGAACAACTTGTGTGTAGATTTAATATTGCTTTAAAGTAATACAATATTAATTTTAATTAATTAGTATCCAAATTATGCCAGAACCTGCTTATATGCAGGTATTTTAGCTAGGTTACCACTCCTCTGTCTTATGAGCCATACCTAGCCATGGTTTATCCTCTATTCATGCTGCAGGGTACGAAATTCCTGGGTGCCAACCTGTCTATGGCAACCTAGAATTCTCCAGGGCAGGCTCGCAAAATCTTCACCTACCCTCTGGGACAGGTAATGAACAAGTGCTGTTTTGTGAAGTTATGCTTTCTTTCTAACTTTCTGATGTCAGTAACATGTTCTGTTTCTTCACGTCAGTCTCTAGTCTCTCATATGCCAACTGTATGGTATTTCTGAATCAGGGAAATAAAAAGCAAAGCTGTTTGATAGTACTCTAGATGCCTGCCTCATAGCAGTCTGTAGTAATTATTATCAGCATGTATAACAGCCAAAAAGATGTTTAAAAAGCCACAATTTCTACAGCTTTCTATAGATTCATATTTTTCCAGCATATGTACACAGTTCATTCCATTACTGATGAAACAGTAATTTAACCAATTTACTTGCAGTTCTTGATTGCCAATGTTTGCATACTCTGAGATCTCTTTCTTTTGTTGCGTGTACTTTAATTCATTGGTCTCCAGGTGTCAGGTTCTCTCAATGCAAGAGGTGCAGAGATGATGAAAGGATGTGTCAGGAACAGACAAGATGGAGGAGTCATGATTGATTCTAGCTTGACATTCCTATACAACAACTAATGAGTTTGCTGGGGTTTTTCTTCCTTCTCTTTCATTTTTGTTCTTTCTGCCAAGATCTGCCCTGCATTATGCCAAACTACGGGTACCTAGAAACAATGCTGTTCACTCACCCTATAAAGTTTTTACTGAGACAGATATTTCAAAATGGAAAATTAATTAGGCAATACAAAAGGCAGGTTTGACCACAGTGCATTTTATTGCAATCTTCAAATTTTCCATGGAGAACTGGTGTAGGCTAGCACCCTTTCAGAAATCAGAGAGCAAGAATGGACATCCTTCAGCTATCGCCTGCTACGCTGCTTATTACAGGGAGGAAGTGAAGAGTAGAATAGACATTTTTCCTTTGAAGGCAAGTATATGCCCATATGATATACTGGGAAATGGGGTTTGAATTATAGGACATCATTTCCAGTCCTTCAGTGCCCTGGACCATTGTTACCTGGTTCCAGATAGGACAGGGGTGAGAACTGCTTGTTTCATGGCATTTCTGGTTCTGATCATACCTGAAATAATATAGAACAGGAAAAAAAAACCTCAGCCAGTGATTCCCTCCTGCAAAGAATATAATTGTAATTTTAATTTAATTTGATGTTTTTAGATATTGTTGTAAATCAGAACTAGTTTTCCCAGTCATATCATAACCCTTAAATTCAGTCATGTGTATGTGTGTGCGCGTGTGTGTGTATTTAACAGATATTCATCAAGAAGCACAGAAGACAGGGCTATGGTGTAAAGGTACAGTATTTAGTAGCCTTAGTTTATGACCAGCTAAAACATGTTATCCTTTCACTGCCTCTAACACATGCCTTAACTCCATTAACCATCAGTTTGTGGCACTTGCTTTCTAGTAGAAATGAACTTGTGCTAATGGGAAAAAATATCATCATTGGACTTCACCATGTCCCCAGGTTTAAGGGTGTCCAGATCCAGGATTTTAGTTCATACTATTTAACAACTTAAAAGAGTGACATGTGGTAAAGGATGCTGCTGATATTCTTGCATCAGTATCTGCAAGAACTGCAAAATGAACTGAAGTTTTAACTCACGTCATCACTAAGGTTTCAAGACCAGTACGGATGTTTGTCTGCAGTGGGCAGAATTCCTAGATTTTCAAACAATAGCTGCAGTAGCATAATTAGGTTTGGATGAGCTGGGCACCAGCCATGGGCACCAATACAGAGGGGCAGCCCATCCAGCAGCAGCAGCCCTTGTGCTGACACACTGATGCTTGGCACCCTCTCCCCTCTGGCTGTGCTCAGGGTACCAAAATTCCTAGTTACTTCTCTGCATATCTGGAAATTGCACTAGAGCTGGGTTCTGATTGTATTCAAGGACCTCTGCTTCTGGGAGGGATTAGGACATGCAGAGGTGTGTGAAAATGAAAGACAGCAAGCATTAAAGTTGTCAGAGCCTGTAAATGGTCAGCAGATTGAATTTTATCTGTCCTGGTTCAGTGATATGTTAGAGCAAATTCCAGTGACAGAATAAAGAAAAGCCTCCCACCCTCTCCCCCTCTCTCTCCTCCTCTGTCTCTTCTCTCTCTCCTCCTCCCCCACCAACATGGAATGTCCCATTTTGATTTTGGGCCACATTATACATTGTTTGAAATGAAACACATTTTTAAGGGTTTATTTTGGTGAAAAAATAACCCCCAACATTTTCATTTTATGTCTGCTCAAAATGAAACATTCCTTGATGGTTTTGGTCCCCAAATCAAGAATTTCAGTTATTCA